TTGTTTTATCTTGAACATTCCTCCCAACAAATCCGCTGTACTCTGAATGATAGTATCCTCTAGTATCTCCCTTGTGATAAGATGGAAAGTAACATTTTTTTCGTAGACTCCAAATAAAACAGGGTTCTCATCAATGTCAAATTCCACGATCCTTTTTCCATCTTCGCCTTGCAATCGGACTATGTTGCTTACACCAGTGCTAGAACAAAGAAGAGAAATTCCTTAAAATACATTGAATTTGATCATATCAGATCAGTGAGGCGTAATGAGCCGAGTTCTCTGCGGCTCAATGGCCAGAGAGGGAACTTTAATTACTACAGCGCTAGATAGCTATACATGAAAACTTATTTAGTTCTTCCGAAATGAGAAAGTAACAACTAAACAGATCGCCAAATGCATGGTAAGTGATACTTATCATAGTTGGAGTCCAAAGGGATTGCTGGCGTGGAATATAGACCAATACCCCACCTCAGGCTGAATTCAAATTCTTACCACATCGGGTGAGTCATCACCAAATATTCTGGTTCATCCATCAAAATTCGAAACACATCTGACCGCTTTGCTGGTATATACACCGGCTCTAGCGAGAATCCGACAGTGACAACTTCCAGCTCCCTGTAGGCTAAAACGCCAAGAATTGCCACTAAAGAGGTCCAGAAGATGATCCTGAGAGTCATTACGGTAGTTCACTGGCACTTGATCGGGTCACCGAGACGAATGAGAGAGCGTGACTTGAGAGACGGTAGACGTTTTGTGACATGCATGACGTCATTTCCAGAAATGTTTGCGAAATGTGTGACTTGAAAGGTACTTGATCGGAAAGAGAATACTGTCTCATTCTTTCCCAGCTCTCGTGTCAGTTGTAGCGAGGATCAATGTTTTCAGAAGCTTATGGCAGCTGTCAAAAGTGGAAAACTATACCATAATCTGAGATTTATCTTGGTGTTACATTCTTGCTTTAAGCCTTGTCTTTTGGTTGAGGACAAATATGGCTTCCTTCGAGAAGTCCAGAAATAGCACCAAATAGATAGTAAAACCGTGTTGTTGAATGGCTGATAAAAACGACGACGAAAGCGAGAAGTGGTGTGCTGTATGCAGTGATAGTGCCTCCGGTTACCATTACGGTGCGAACACTTGTGAAGGCTGCAAGAGTTTCTTTAAGAGGACAGTACAGAAAGAGCTGCTGGACAAATATGAGTGTATTGCTGATGAAAGCTGTCCCGTAGACAAGCAGTCACGGGCCAAATGTCAGTTCTGTCGGCTTCAGAAATGTTTTACAGTGGGGATGGTCGCAGAAGGTATTGATTTCTCTTACAGAGATTTTCATTCAAAATCTAAAGATTATTAGAGATGAAGCACAGGTAGGAATATTCCGCCAGAGTAATCTTTCGATCAAGGAATTCGACTGGACAAATGACAACATGTACTTAGTGTTTAATTATGATTTCTGCGAGTTAGACTGCAGGGAAAAATAGCGAAAATCAATAAAATGATTTTGATATACTACTAAAGGCAGCCAATCTCTGAAAAACGACCTTTAGACTGTGTTGAGACAAAATGATAATAAGTTTGACTTCAGGATGTTGAAACGAGTCACAGCAGTGTCATGTGATCTACTTCTACTTATTATGCTGGTGAAATTAACAGAACCTTCGATTATTATTGTAAAAAGTGGGACAACATGTAAACAGAAAAGCTGTTCTGTTGTTATGCATATTTTATCCAATTATATTTTATATTTTCATTCATCAACTTCAAAACTTAATTAAATCCCTGATTAAGCATTGAGGTTTGAGTTGCTGCAAGTTATTAAGCAAGGGTGAAGATATGGGTAGGATTGGTGACTGGGATATATTTCAGACTGTGTTTCATGAAATGATAATCATTTGTTTTATTGATATTCATACATAACAATCAATTCCTCACTTCTAGTGAGAGAATTTGAGCATAGGGTTAGTTGTAAATGTAAATTTACACATTTTGGAAAACAAATTTGGTTTCAAGTTGTGTTTCTTTAGACATCTTTACCCAAACTCTTTGGCCATCTTCAGATATGTTTGTTTCCCTAAAAGTGATCCTGGCCCTCTCAGTACTTTGCTTTAAGGCTTTTTTTTAAAACTACAGAGTAGGAGTCATAACCAGAGTCTTAGGGCACTTAGACTTAAGAGCACAATACTAGTGGAACCGGAGTCTGAAGATTCCAAATAGTTCCATTTCCTCCCAATCCTGCTGATAAATGATACGTTTATGATCAGTTAAGAACTAAATTGTTCAAGCAGCAAGCAGAAGCAGAAGATTCAACCAATCAGAGTGCAAGTTCTAAGGTCATCAAATGGCTTAATAACCTAATCAACCTAGATTTCAAAGATCACAGACAATTGAGGCACTAATGGCAATGGAATACTGCTTCCAATTCTGTTGTTATTGTTATTTATTTATTTTTTTATTTTTGTCATTAGCTTGCATCTCTCTGCACTTCTAAGAAAAAACTCTAGCCCTGATATTTGTGAAAACCAGCCTGAAGTGTAAAAGGTTATGTCATGCATACAATGCAAGTGACAATTATTGCCACATGTTCACTTTTTTATTGAAATATTTAATTTTTTCTAGGGGTAAGAAAAGAAAAAAAGCGTGGTGGACGATCATTCTATCCACTAAAGAAACAGAAATGTGATGAAACAACTGAGAGAAATGTGAATCAAGACACAAATATTGTATATTGCTCTGAACTCATTGAAAAACTTATGGAAAGTAGTCCTTGCATCATTCCTCCTGGAGAGTCAGATGAGAATCCAAAGGAAGCAGATGGCACAGAAAGCAGGGAAGGAATGCTCACCAGACTTTCCACTGCAATTACCAAAGAACTATACTTGATTGTTGAATGGGCCAAACTGGTACCGGGTTTTGAAAATCTTTGCCGTAAGGATCAGATTGCTTTGTTGACCGCTGGAGGAATGGAACTGATTGTGTTTCGAGTCATTTACAGGTCTATTCCTTACAAAGAGTATGTGTACATGAACTCAACCACTCTTCTTGAGAGAGAGGATTGTTACAGTGTGTTGAACAAAGAAATTGTTGACATGATTCTTGATGTGGTAGAAAGACTTAGGCCCCTTGCCATGGATCAAGTAGAATTTGCTTGTTTAAAGACTATTCTCTTAGCTAATCCAGGTAGGGATTTTCAGTGCATAACTTTACATTATCAACCTTGGTCAGTCTGTCTAGTAGATAACTGTCTGTCTATTTTTTCAATTGCCTATCTGACTATATTCTTGCACAGGGTAAAAGAAAGTGCTGCATCAGTGGGAGTTTATAACAGGTAATTTAGCATTAACAACTGAGTTAAAAATGTAAGTTGGCCTCCGTAAAGAGTTTAAAAGCTGATGTTATGAGCATTAGCCCTTCATCAGAGTGAAGGGCTAACATTTGACACATCAGCCTTTAAACTCTTTATGGCAGCCAATTTACGTTTTCAACTCAGTTGTTAACACTAAATTACCTATGTATTTGCATGTCTGAGTCTCACCACATGCCTCCAGGGTCTTGCATGTTTAGACAGCTACATGGTACATTACTACCTTACCATAAGCTTTATTCTTGTCCTACATTCTGAATCATTTTGTATTATTTTCAAGCTAAGAGGAATTTTATGCCAAGGAACCAATAGAAATTGCCATCTACAACTGACAGAAATCATTTGCTGTCTTAAATTGAGTTGTTGTCCAGAGCAGAATGCCACTTAGTCTTACATTTACATTAAAATCTTTTGAAATTAATTTTACCAAAGGCACCACCTTATCTGACTGATTTTTGTGTAGTGGAATTTGGCAAGTATGAAACTAAAACTGTTTAACCTGTAATTCCTATGAGTGACCGAGCCAGAAGTTCTCCTTACAACATCAATACAACATCAAGCAGACAAGTAATGAGAATAAAGGGAAATATCAATTTGGTGATTATTAGTTGTTACAATACCAAATTATCTGAATTTACATTAAGAAAATTCTATGACAGACAGTATAAGGAGGATTTCTGAAGAGATCTTGGTAGTGGAAGGGTTGAAGGTGGAATTTGTAACTAAAAAAAAGGTGAATGTTAAATTTTGCTTCACACCTCCAATGATTTATTAGAACATAAAACAAATTCAAATCATGGTATTCATCATGAAGGCTATGTTCTTCAAAAATTACAAGAATCTTGGACCCTTAAACCATTCCATCTGTGAAGATTATAACCAACTGATTTTTAAAAATGTTTTACAGAAACATCAGGACTTTCTGACAAGATTGCAGTTGAAGCACTTCAAGGGTCATTTCTTGCAGCTCTTAAAGATCACATGGAGTTAAATTACCCTGATCGTTCAGGACGCTTTGCTAAGCTTCTTCTCCGGTTACCAGCTCTTCGTGATGTTTGCACTAAAGGCTATCAGTATTTCTTACTAGTGCGGGCCAAGCTGGAGGGAGAAATTCCAATGTCAACATTACTACAAGAAATGTTTGAATCTGCAAGGTTTTAGAGAAAATACCTCTAACCTTCCTTGGTACATAATATAGGGACATTAACTTGGAAGTTACTTCAAATGGAGTAGTTTTAGAGAAAATACCTTCATATTACTGTCCGAGTCATTGAAATACGGACATCTTCATCCCATGGAAATGTATGTTGTGGCTCAAATTTTTACCTTGTTTCTAAAATGTTTGAAATCAGTTTGGCTTTTTTCTTTTCTTTTTTTTTTGCCTTTTATTCATTGGTGAACTTAATATTTTGGAATGAAGGTAGGTAACACTGGTTTATTAATTCTTAGCACAAGTGAAAAATGTGAACCACATCATATTTTTGACAACAAAAACTTTTGAGAAGCTTAAGCTGAAAACCTGTAGGTAAATGATTCTCTTGTTCTCTATCAAATTCTCCCACTTTTCAGGTTGTATAAAGTTTGTTAATTCTGAGAGGGATATATTGGTACATTTTGTAAATTCTCGTATTTCCAAATTTTTTACACAAGCTTGTGCAGACTGCTCACATTCATTTTGCTAATAGGATCAGGTTATACATGTCTCTATCTCCATATTAAGACCTGCTGTGAGCAGGTTAGGAGAAGAAATAGTCATTGTTGGGAAAAATAGATTGTTTACTATGGACGTAACGATTTGTATGAATTCAATCAAGAGAACGTTGTACATAACACAAATATCAAATAAGTTGTATGGTTTGTTTGAATCGAATTAAAAGTAATGAATTGGACTCTGAAGGGTTTTATGGGCTTATAGAGCCTAAGTTATGCTCAATCTGTGGCATAGTGCGACCGTCCTATTACCAGCTATGAGAGGAAAACTGGAGAAGTTTTGTCGTTGTACTGTTGGTGGGGCAAGAACCTAAATCACTGAAAACAAGGACTTAAAAAAGTTTTCAACTTTATTCATAAATCAACTCAAAAACAATTGTCAAAAATTATTTTCCCGTAAACCCATCGTTTTTCCTCAGCATTCATTGAAAAGTTTGCACTCCGCGTGCAATATTTGTGTAAATCCAACTCTCAATCGTAAGATGAACACCTCTCTGAGGATGAACCACTTTAACCTATAAAAGCAAGGATTTCATGATAAGAATCTTGATTAAAACTGCGAAAATGAAACAAGAATTTATCAATTATCACTTTACATGTGACAGTGGTTAAAGTAGTGGTGTCCTACACGTCTGGTGTGGTCTCGAAATCTTCCAGCGCAACCCCATCACCATACAAGTACGTAGATTGCAGTCTTTCCGAAGAGGACGGGAGAGAATGGTTGGGAAGTCTAGACACCCTGCACCACCTTGTAGGTTCTTCAACTGGAGCTTCACGGCCCAAGGAAGCGTGATCAGCACGGATGCTTTTTCTTGGCTTCACCGACCGCTTAGTTTTGCCTTGGAAAACTAATGTTTCCTCTTCATCACGGAACAATTCTGGAATATCTATGAAACACGAAATACTACGTTTGCATAGTGGAAACACCGAAAAAAGAACAAGAATTTACGCAATACGTAGCATGCCCCCTACCTTCAGACGATGAATCTGAACCAAAGCTCTTTTCGGGCTTTGACCAAACTACTCCAAGACAATATCCTTGTCCACCTCTGCCAGGCGGCCTCTCAGTGGGGACAGGATCCCAGTGCGCTGGGTAGCGTGGAAGCGTCGCCGTCACTGGCCGCTCAAGGATTCGTTTCACCTCGTCTGGTTCAGGTTCACCAAAACCCTCAAAGTCCTCCTCCATCTCTTTCTCCTTCTTTCTCCGGTACTTCTCAAGGAAGTCTTGAACCATGTCGGGCTTCTTTTCTCGCTTGATTGAAGGCAAGCACGGTCCAGCCCCATGCCATTTCGGCTTTATGTCAGGAATAGGAGGTGAGTTACTTGCGCCACCTTGAAAACAGTCCGTGCTCGTGAGCGCACGGAATTGCTGAACGAATGTTGACGGTTTCCTGTCTACCCAGTTGCGCCTCGTTTTAAACGTTGAGTTGAATGTGGCGCTGTTTGGTTCTTCGTTGAAAATTTCAGGTTCCAGTTTAAATCTCACCCTCTTCTTGATTTTATGACTCGGAGAATCTTTCTTGACGCACTCCTGCCTACCTGACAGAGAACTTTCATAGTGACAAATTGAGTTAAGATCATATTTGTTCTCGGAATTGAAACTCCTTTGCAGCTCCTGTAATGCTTCCTCTCCTTTCTTGTTCTTTTTACTTTGTTTTTTCTGTGAGCTCTTCTGGCAAAGTTTAGACTTCGATACCTTCCTCGAAACCGCTGAAGGTTCAGTGAGCCCGCTTTTCATGTCTAGTGTACTAAGTTGTTTCTTCTTAGTAGCACGTCGCTCATTGCGTTTTGTCACTGATTCTGCTTTGTCTTTGCTGTGCTCTTTCCTGGAGGTATGGCCGGTGCCAAAGTCACTAGCCTGCAATGAAGTTTGTAATGAGTCACTACTTTGGCAACATGAGGCTTTAGGCATTGGATTTGTGGCGTTTACCTCCTTTCCCATTGCATGTAGTTTTAACGCAGATTCCTCTGAAGTGTCTTCCTCGTAACTATTTGACTTTTCATCAACGCTTACGGCGGGTTGGTAGTCAGTATGTTCTTTGCTTCTCGGATTGTCGTTTACGATCTCAAAACGTTCTCCTCTCTCCACTGTCGAACTTTGTTCATTGATAACGTCTGCCTCGGGGACCACAAACTTAGACACACTCTCCTTTCTCTCTAACGCCAACCAAGTCGAACATCCATTAGACGAGGGCTCATCATTTTTTAACGATGTCCTGGATCTTTCCTTTCTTATTTCCAATTCAGGATTGGAAGAGACATGTTGCTCAGTATATCTAATGTCATCTGCCGCTACTTTCTTGAATTGCACAGAATGGTCTTCATGGGTGTCATCCTTCAAATCATAGTATGGAGCAGGTGCAACAGAGTTACTCCTCTTTTTCAACCATTTCCCTAGAGAAGTGCGCGGCCGTTGTTTTCTTTCATAGATGGGATTAATCCCGCTTTCAGTTCCATCGACCCTGGACTTCTCTTTCAGCTTTGCGCTGCCCTCTTGAAAGTCATGATTACCGCTGATGATCTTGGCGCAGACATTTCCATCCAGTACAGTTCTATCTGTTGGTTCCTTCTTGTTGATCTCACCACCTTGTTTCTCTACGTTTTCGGAAGCACCGTCACTAACAACTCGATTTTTTCTCTTATTTTTCTTTTTCTTTTTCTTCTTTGGAAGGTTCGAACCAGATTTGTTGTCGTGTGTTGGAGAACTTTCGCCATCCATGATTTGACGAAAGTAAGGATTGTCACCAACCAAATGTATTGGTATGCTTCCCGTGGGGCCATAAAAGGAAGGTTGTCGAACTTGGATCAGTGGCTTTCCCACAGTGGAGAAGATGTCTGGGAGACAACTTCTTCCACGTGAGTGGCAATCCTCCCCTGCTGCTGTCTTTTTTTGCTCTAGTTTACCAGGTCGTGGCTCCTGGGCGGCACTAAAGCAGGGCAAGGTGTCTTGCTTGTTCAAGACATGCTCATGTATCTTCCCGGGACTTTCTCCTACATTTTTCTTTTGTGAATCGTTTGCGGTACCATCTTTAACAAACCTGCTCGCCAGAAAAAAACTTGAGGAATCTGGCATTTCAACTGGGGGGAGTGAGGCTTGACATCTGCAAGAATCGAGCCTCGCGTCGGCGAATCTCGTTTGTGGTATATTTCCTACATTGCCAGGGGGAAGGAATTTTAAATCCTCGACGTTATCAGACAGGAATTCCTTATTTCTCCCTATTATATGTTCACCGTCTTTGCTATCCCCCAAGAAGGACTCTTCACCGGCCACGTTTGTGGATTTCACTGATCCGGTACACTGTGAGTGTTTCTTGATCACTTCAGTCTTGAATCCAGACTCATCCTGTAGGAAAACAACTTTATTCTCTTCCTCCGTTCTCCTCGGAGAGTCGCTTCCACGTTCCACTCTTCCACTACGTCTTCCGGTGACAACATAATTTTGTAAATAACCAAAAAAGGAAACGAATCTATCCATTGTAAACAAATTTCAACCAAGAATTGAAATCGCGAATTTTTCCTCGTAAGCTCACGAAGATGAGTTTTTGCTCTATGACGTCATTAATTGCATGTGACACCAAATGAACCGAGCACGTGCAATTTAAGAGAGGTAGAGTGTCAACGGTAATGCTTTCGGCCGAGATGAAATTCTTGAATGAAAGTTGAATATAAAACTACAACTGATCACACGTTTACAAAGTTTTTTCTCCATTCGTAGAAATACAACACTCCAGATCGCCCTCGCGCACATCATGCTGATATCTTTAAGTTTCAAAGTGTTCGCAAAAAGTGGCTATTTAATCAGTCAGACAGAGGCAGTCCTAACAAAAGCGTTCCGACACATTCTCACTGGAAAGTTGATACAAAATTCCAAACCTTGTCGTCCGCTATTGTTCATAGGTAAATTGAAACACTTTATCCCAAATGATCTTTGCCTGGCTAAAATCGCCATAGCCCTCGGAGGCACCTATTAAGCACAGACCATAACCGAAAATCGTTAGTTCACAACATTCAAATTTCTCTTTCCGATTTCCACGGCCGAATAGATCTTTCACAAATGTAAGGCGCATTATTTTCCGCTCGTCAACTAAGATTTGTCCCCAAAAAATTTCTTTGACACCTGTTTCTCCATCGGCACCAGAATATTTTGCTACTGATTTCCGTCGCGTCGAGACTTAAAAGTTTGTCTTCCACGCAGTTCTAGTTAAGTTCTTCTTAAGACAAAACTGGCAGCCATAACATACCTTTAGAATAAATTACTTCTAAATAAAGCACTTTATCCATATCAAGTAGCCAAATCATTAAAACATCCCTTCTACATCCAGATTATATTTTCAGATATTCATCCTGTGTACATATTTATAAATTAATCATATCACAGAAAATAACCCACGTAAGGTGCTGAGAAACGAGAACGTTTTATGAATTCCGAGCCGAAGGCGAGAGATTTTTCGAATTTTTTCTCCCATGCCCCCCGAAGGCTCCTATTTAGTAGAGACCATAACCGAAGTCGTTACTTCACAACATTCTGATCTATTTCTTCCGATTTTATATTTTATATAACCATCATACTAAGTGGGTTTTACGACGGTGAATCAATAGAAAGTACAGTCACGTGATTTTATAAAACAGCTTTTTCTTTTTAAAAAGTCAGTGTGATTTGTGTATCCGCTATTTCATAGATGTAAATATGTTGCATCAGGACTACCTGAGACCAAACGATTCATATATGAAGTCAATAAATATTAACACTAATAAGCAGTGAAAGCCTTTTGTGTTACATGGGCCTGAATAGCAAGGTTGTTCATGAAATGGTAAAATTACTTTATTAGCCTCCGTTGTCAAGAGGGGAAAAACATCGCAGCAAACCAAATTGAGCAATGCACGAGTATGTCTGAATGCTGTATTAATAAACACTAGAACAATTATCTATGGTTTAAATTGTCGTTATATTTTGAGGTCTGTCGTCTTCAGGAGAAAGGTAGGAACATCATTCTGGGAAAAAACGTCTTTCTGCGACATCTGAGCTCCAGGGAAATAAGTTTGAAAGAGGCAAAATTTAATGGGACAATCATTTAGCTCTATTGTGCGCCCACTGAGATTGGCTGTTTGTTTTCTTGAATTTCTCCATGCGAAAGTAACAGCCAATCAGATGCGCTTAACATATCCCTAGGCATCGGTGTAGAATTATTCGTACAAGCTTTTACAGAAAAAACGAAATTTTCCCCACTCAGCCCAACAGTGAGGTAGATTTGAAAATAAATAATAATTCGTAATCTTTGGAATACGAAACTAATCCCAAAGACACTTCGCACTCAGACACTACAAAACTATGGCGTCGACTGCCCGGGAAAAAGGGCTGTTATTTCAAGGATAGGTCGCCATCGTCAGTTGAAAAAAGGAGGTACACCCGTCGGGAAAGTTCGGGTCCAATTCTTCGACTACTTGCCAGTACTCCAGCGCCACGACGGACCTGAAAAAGAAAAAAAACATAAGTCTAACTGTGCGTGGAAAGCAAGGGATCATTGCAATTAGGGATGGGGAGTATTTTGGACAGAACACAAGCTTTGATTGATGTACAAATAAAGTTATCACGAAACTCGTGAGAAATTTCAATTTTACTATCAAAGCAAACTGGAGGGCGAAATATTTTCTAATTTCTGAGAGCTTACCAAGATGTCTTGAAGAAGTTTAGAAGCTTCCTCTCTACTGCTACAACCTTGATAGGCCTTAAAAAATATATCATTACGTTCATTATTAAGATTCAGAATTTCTTACGTGATAGAATATAATATCAATAGCAACTAAAAATTAAGTAAGTTCACAAGATCTACGACTGTTGGAGTGCGAAAACACTTGATGTAGGCGAGATGACAGCATTTACAAAGAAAAGTCATAAAAAAAGTAAAACAACAAGATGCAGTACCTTGATGAGACTCTGTGGAGATGGGTAAACGTTTGTAATGGCGGCCGCCATCTCCGCTGAAACATTTCTCAACTGTTGAAAATGTTTCTGCCAGACTTTCTTCAAACCCTCACCGTCTTTTGACACCTGCAGAAAGGAACAACCTCTTGGCAAACAGCTACAATTGAGAGATAGTGGAGAATTTGAAAGACGTGAGATTCAAGGAAAATTGATGAAAACGTTGGCAGATAGCAATGACGGGAATGTTCTGGTGACATCTTCTCGGCCTAAAATGGCCCAAGTTTAGTTGACCCATCAAAGATTTTAGTGCATAGCAGCTTACTGCCCCCTCTCCCTCACCATCTCAACCCACACTATTTTTCAAGATTCTCCTGAGTGGAGAGGAGCACTGTTCAAGTTACATATTTTACCCAAGAACACAACATAATATTCCTGCCTGGGCTCAAACAAGACGTTTTCATATGGAGTACAGCGCACCAACCACAAGGACAGCGCATCTTCCTCAATACAGAGCATAGAAGCATTATATCTACTTGCCCCACCCTTCACTCCCTATGATAATCCCAACTGCATACTAATCCCCCCCCTGTAAATTCATGAAACATGTGCTGAGAGTATTTATTGATGACAATGGGCTTCAAGGTGTACCTTCACAGATCTTTTCTGTCCTTCCACACAAAAAGAAAATACTTCCGGTTGTTTTTTCCTATTAATGCAAAATGTGATTTTAATTCTTTAACCTCTAACAGAACATGTGGCAATAGACACGAGGAATCAATGCAGACGTGATCTTACTTAAACGGTGCTTCAGCAACAGCTTTAGTTAACATGGCCAACAGATCAGCAAACTCCTCTTCAGTTTCACACATGCGTATTCGGCAGTCAGGCTGTTTTATTTGTAAGTCCACAAGAGCTTCTTCTACATCAACCCTTGACACCATAACACTGGCTACAGATTCTTTGTTTATTTTCTTTCGTCGCTTACTGCTGGAATTATCATTATCTGAGGAGCTTTTCCCAAGAACAGCTTTTCGAAACTGGTGTTTTTGAGCAAGTTTAACATCTCTTTAGAGAAATCAAAGAAACAAGAGTGACAATTTACTTTTAGCCTTGTGAAATCTTCCTTGATGCAGCCCATAAAGAAAAAAAACAAAAATCCAAGAAAGGTGCTCTTTACTATTAACACTGCAAGGTACCATGGGCACCTACTGGAAGTGCACTTTGTAAAAGGTATAATTTTATTATTCTTACTTTTATTCTTATTGTTATTATTCATTATGGTAATGTTAATGTTGATAGTGATAATAACAATGATGATGATGTCAATTATGAACATTATTATAAATTTCAAGAAGACACACCTGAAATACTTTTCAAGACCCATCACAATTAAAGTGATGATTTTACCAGGGTAAATTGTCAGGGCTCTTTCAAAGAATTCAGTCAAAGTTTCTTCATCAGAGATAACAGATACTGCTGGATTTTGAATCTCCTAAATGAAAACAATGGAAACAAAAAAAAAAAGGATTTGCTGCAATCATGTTGCTTTTAGGCCCCACAACACAAAGAGGATAAAATTGTCAGTCTGCAATCATAAATAGGATAAAAGTTTACAGATACTGATTCCTGTTTCCTTATTTGATCTCACCTCACAAGATCGTAAAACCATTTCCACAAACTTGACTACTGACAGACAAAGTACTGCATGGTTTTCATTAGTGACAGTTGTTCTCATGGAAATCTAACAAGAAGGATAAAAAAAACACCAAAAAAAAACTATAAGACAGAGAACTGTTTCAATGAATACTGAGTCAATTCCATTTTTATTGTTTGATATTTCAATTTCTAAAGAACACTCACTTAAAATTATGTCTCTTGAGCACACTGTAAACTACAATCTTATTACTACACAAAACAGAGCAGATAAAATCAAAATACAAGAGACACAGAACTTAGAGTGATCCCAAATCCTTTTATCAATTATTTTTTTCTATTTCTTTCTTTTCTTTTCATTTTTCAAGGAGAAGAACTGACATGTAAATGAGCCTTCCCCATCCTTAATTGTGTACATATAAAAGTACCTGAAGTGTCCCCTCCTGTACATCATGCTGCACACAAGCTCTCTGCCATGTAATACTGCTGGGAAATAGCTGTGATTTTATCTCATGACCTGCTCCCAGTGTTTCTAATCTTTGAAGGAGAAGACTTTCCCCAGCAAGCTGACAACAGCTCACTATTTCATGATCAATGCAAACCACTATTTGCTGTTCGAAAGAATTTTAAATAAAGCACTTAATCATCACAAAAAGTTGGCATTTACCAACACCTGTACCTCAAAAGGATGAAAATGAAAATGAAAAGAAACAAAATACACATGCAACATTTAACCTTTAAAAGAACATATGTAGTAGTATGAAGCAACACATTTTGGGACTCAAGAAAAACATTTTTTCCTCATACAGTACCTTGATACAGCCATCTAATCGATTGTTTGATTTCTGATTCATTCTATCTGCCTAAACAAGAAATAAAGCACAAAACAATAAATATAGCATGAAATCTAATGTAAATCCACAAAAAATAAATTTAAGAGGAATAATTTTTTTTGCATTCTTCCTACTAATTTCCTCTCCTTAATGCAAAACAGAAGATTCAAAGGCTTCCTCATTAAATGTTTACACTTTGACTTAAGTACCTACATTCTTCTTTCATTCTTTATACATTTCTTAAGGTACTGACAAGGAGAATTTATTGAACAATCAGGTGCTTCTTATGTTGGTGATCATAATTATCATCCTTGTAATGATTAGCTATGATTCCACAATCGTCGATTATGTAATTTCTGTTTTGAGTTAAGTGTCATAAGGTCAATGAAATTAGAGAGAAGCTTAGTTATCCTCAGACACAGTCCATTAAGATCAAAGCTACAAGATTAAGGCAGTAAAATAATAAGAATTCTAACCCGAGAAAAGAGGTATGATTTTGCCTACATAATTTCTATTTGCATGTTCTCGGATTATATTTGTTATCATGGTTATTGCACGTGATTTAATTCTAAAATAGTATTATCATGTATGCTCTATGTGTACAAGTGATTTCACAATAGCACATGTTATGTATAGTTTCTAATTGTTCTTAATAGTATGTTATGCTGCAAATTACCTTACAGTTTTTTACATTTTCAAGTACCATACCCCAAGAATAAAAGATAATCAATAAGATACAAAGATGAGTACTTGAAGTCAGTAAATCTCCACCTCCGACCAGATATGTTTATACCTTGAGAACCTAAACCCACTACAATCCTCCTGACCTTAGTGTTTGATTCAGTCATGATACTGTTGGGAGAAAATCACCATCACTTTTCACTCTTAGGGTGAACCAGTTGGCCAGATGTTTTCACAGTAGGCGTTGGGACCATACAACTTCATAGGGTAGATAACAGAGCCCCTTGAGCAAAAAGTACTAGTATCCAAAATGGATGGTCAAGATTTTTCAGATCCCAAAATTTCATTAACAAACCATTTTCAGTAGTTTTTCCCTGTCCTTCTGAATTTTCAACTGTTCCCTGGCTTGTTTTCTGGCATGTTGTTCTTTTTCCTTTTCTTCTTTCTTTGTTTGTTTTTCAAGTTTTTTTACTTGTTTCTTAAGCTATAAATTGAAAGTGAATAGTAATGCAAAGAATTATAAATATTTTAAAAACTGTTACAGTATAATTGCAAAATAATTGCAAAAATAATTCAGGATTTTGACAAACTGAGATGTTGAAAATGGAGATTGGAGCTTAAATATTATCTCCCAGTTTAGTGTCTACACTCCTTATAACTGTTCCCGACATAACAAATGACATAGTGATACTTACATGAGCTTCATTTCTCTCTCTTGTAATTTTGTGTGGTGACCCTTTCTTTTTCTTAACAGGGATTTGAGAATCATCCTGAGAGTCAAAGTTGCTTCCTAGAAACTGAGAATCCCTACTTTTATAATTATCTGTGCATGAGTTTGAATGTGATTTAGAAGACAGGGTGCCCCTATTATCTGTGTGTAAAGATGGTAGAACACATGGAAGATCATCACTATCAGAGCTGTAATCATCAGATTGAGAGCAATCTACAAATATTTCTCCACTTCTCTTGAAGTACTCCTCTGCAGCTTTCCTGTTCTCCTTTGGTGGCATTTGATTGCTTGAGTTTGTAGTTAGCGTTTTAGCAGCAGGTGAATGTAAAGTGTAAACATCCTGAATATCCTCTTGCTCATTATCATCAGAGAAGGAAAGATCAATTATCGAACTTCTGCATTTGACCATTGTTTTCCTTCCCGTTGCCTTTCCTTTTACATGGTAAGAGGTA